TGATTTGGATTGGGGGCATGCTCCTCATGATGATCAGGATGGTGTGGAGCAGGAGGGTATGGAGATTAGAGGGTCATTCTGAGGATAGTATGGAGAAGGCTCATACAGAGGAGGAGCCGCCTCATACTGAATGGGAGGCACATACAGAGCAATAGACACAAATGACGGGTGAGTGCTCTCTGGGACAAACTCCTGGGCGGATGCAATGCCAGAGCTGGAAGCTGATGGATCCGACCAATCGAGAAATGTAACTCCATATGAAGGTCTGCTAGCCGCAAGATTCCTAATTCTCTTTCTACCAGAAGCCATATCGTTGATTATTAAATAAATAAAAAAGATTATAAACAATTAATTAATTTAAATCAATTATAAAAAATAATCAAATATAATTCTAAATATAATCTATTGTCATCCTAAACTCCAAACCAAATCTAATTCAATCTTAAACTAACCACCTAAACCTAAATCTAAAACTTAAGAAAAAAATACCTTAGAGAAGGAAAGTGGAGGGGAATTGGTTGTTAGAGAGAGAGGAGATTGCAACGAAATGTGTTCGACTGCTCGCGAGTTTATGTAGAGATTTGGTGGTCGTCGTAATTTAGAACTTAATTAATTCGAAATTACGAAAAATTAGGTGTTACAGCGAATCAAGGAATACATGTTACGACCAATTAAGGACGACACGTGTAGCAGATTACGACGATATAAGAACTACAACCATATACGACGAATTAGGGGACTACCATTTAAGACTATTTAGTGGCCACTAGTGTGAGTACATACCTACTCAATTACGACGACATAAAAGTTACGCCAAATGCTCCAGAGAGATTTATTGTTTAGTCATTATGTTGTCGTAATTGATAAATTACGACTACCTAACGACGATGAGTGATACGTCGTTAAGTACCCGTCGTAATGAACAATTGGGCGTAAAATCGCCGTAAAGTGTACGACTAAACAATTTTGTCGTAATTTGGTAATAAAGCTAGTAGTCATAAAAAAGAAGTTAATTAAGACGTAAAGTTACATCCTTCTTTTCGACATCCATTGGTCGTAAAGTTCGGTAGTAAAGTAGTCGTAATGATTAGACATTAAACAGAATTAAATTAATCATAATATTCACGATGACTTAACATCAACTATCGAAGTAAAGTAGACGAAATATTATGACCAATTTACTTTGAACCGGTTTAATTTATTACAATTAGTTTACGTCCAATTAAATAATTTAGATATATTCAAATTTTTAATTTTTAATTTAAAAAATTAATAATTTATAAATTCAGAAATTTTTTTGAAAAGTCTAATATATCCAAAATATAATATCCAAAACATAAATGATATAATATTCAAATTTAAAAAAAAATAACGAAAAATTACAAAATCGAAAAAAAAAACTAATTATTAAGGTTGATGTCGTCAAAGAAGTCATAGATGTGCACTGCAGCCCGTTGCTCCATTTGCGCCTGCTCTTCTGGATTAGGGTTGGGATTTAATGGTTGGACGTCTATTATGCCACATTTGTGCAAGGACTGAGTTTGTTTCAGCAATAATGTCAAACATCTCCACCATGGCCCTAATGTGGCTCCTGTTGGTCTGGTTGTCCGTCCGGAGCTCTGAGATGACCTGGTTAGCAGTCGTCAAATCTGCCCTGAACAGAGATTCGTCATTCATTCTTTGAGCGTATTCAGCTCTCGCCCTCGGGCATCATTCACTGTATCAATCCGACCATCCGTCCCCTTTTCTTTGAGATGACCTTCATTCAATTAATAAAATGAATAGAAACTAATACATATATAACCCTAAAAGCTTAAAATTCCATATATAAAAACATAATTATAATTAATTAAGATTGAATATTTTACCTGCTCTAATATTTTGTCTTGTTCGACGATGGATAACTGGACCGGTTCACCTTGTTGCGACAACTGGGTCTGAACCTCCTGGATCCGAGCGTCCACATTGTTGTAGATCCTTTCTGTTTGAGAATCAACAAACGTCCCATCAAAATGCTGGTGCGTCATCTTGTAAAGTCGGGAAAGAGATGGTGGTGCTCCTTCCAGAGCGGCCTAGAAAAAAATTTAAATTAAACTCATGCATTGAATAAATAATTTATTAATAATATAAAAAAATTAGAAAAGTTCGAGTACGTACGATTTCTAGGGCTTTCTCGGCATGTGGCGTCTGCCCGGAAGTGTGGGGCTATGGCAAATTACCCTCAGCATCACGCGTCAACCGGGCCGTGGAGCAACAGAGGGATTTTTGAACTGACTTAGGCAAATTCCAATAAGCCTTCAAGCCAGTCTAAATGTGATCACTGATGTAGATGGATTTTTTTCATTATGTAAAACCCTCCACTTCTCCTTCCAATCGCCAACAATGTTCTTCAGGCGTAACTTCACCTTATCGTAGAACCATGCATTCACCTTCTCATAGACAGCAATAGACCAGTTCCATTTTTTTTTTAAAAAAAATGATTAAAATAAGAAATTGATAATATTAAATAAATTTCAAAATGAATGAATTAAATAAATAAATAAAAAATTACTGCAAAGCACTTGAACCAAGTCCTCCGAACGTGGTCCGGTGTAAGACTCCAGTTCGGATGCGCTTCTTGGAGGTTTGCCTAGATGATTTCTGAAACACTCCATCCCACGGGGTTGTCCGTCACAAAACTACAATTTTTAAAAAATAAATTAAATTGATATATAATTGTAATAACTGTAATTAAAACTTTAATAATTAAAAAAATTCAAAGATTACTGAAAAAGTGTTGGCTGGTCGATCTGGGATGATGATAGGTAAACCTTCTTGTCCCGGCATCTGAAGAAGGTCTTCCACCATAAATCTAGCCTAGGGAGCAGTCTCTGGCACTAGCAATGAATCAAACGCTCAGGTACTCCTGCCCAGAAAAAAAATAGCTGAGATACTCTTGCCCGAAACTGACCGGATTTGTAATTAAATATATCTTTATTTAAATCATAAAAATTATTAAAAGACCACAAGCCCAACAGAAACTTGCATAATTACAACCCAACCAGAGCCATTTCGCCAAACCCGATCCATAAAATTCGGATCTGTTTTCCGAAACCTTTGTAAGAATTGGTGTAATTGTAAACCTTGGTGTAACCGTGCAGCGTAATAATACTTAACCTAATAAATTGAAGGTATTCTAAATTGAACTAAGTCGCACTTTTAGATTGCAATTTTTTATCACGTTATTGTTTAGCCACAGTTGTTGTTATTGATATATTCATTGAAGTTCAAATAAAAAATATTAGTTTATAAATATAACTAGAGAAAGTACATTATGTTTATAGCTATAACTAGAGAAATAGCAGAGCATATTGTGAAGACTAATTTACGAGCAGTCGAGTGTATGGCATCGCAGAAGTCCCAAGCTGCACAATTCCAGAAACAACAATCGCATTTCCACCGTAATATTGATCCATCTAGGGAGACTACAAACATTGGTGGGTCTAGGTTGGAGCACCAGCAATTATGTGGCACATTAGGATCTATCCTTTCAGCCACAGATCGAAACATGGGAGGTTTTTCGTAATCCCAATTGCCTAAGATAACCCAACTAGTGATGATTTGAAACATCTCCTCAACATGTTGACGAGTAAAAGCAGGGTAGTTGTGAACAATTCCTCTACCATCAAAGCTAAAGGCTAAGTTCAGCATAGCATCTACAAATTGTGCCAACACGCACCCTCTCTCACCAGCACGATGTATTTTTTCCCTTCCTTCATCAAGTAAATTGAGGAAGAAGAACTCGTACATACCTCTCAGGTAGATGGCCTCAGGATTACCCAAACGGTAGCATTTAAGCTTGAAAGCTTGAACAGCATTTGCCTCGTCTGCCCAGTCATTGAAATAAATTAGATTGGCCGATCTATAGAAGTGATCATCTCTTCCAACTTCATTGAACCCAGAAAAAGCAATCCTTGCAGAACCAAAGTTCCGGATACTGGTCTTTAGTACATTAGAGAGAATCTTATGAAGCATTGAAGGAGGGAGAGAAGTCAAGTTCATGTTCTCCATGTTTAACTCTGATAAAAGAAAACGGTTAATGGTGAGAGAAATCACAAGTTTGTAGAAGTGATTTTTTTTTTGTCACTGGTTTGTAGAAGTGATAAACCCTTAAAATTTAATGAACCACTCACCCTAATCAAAAGAAGTGTGTCCATTTAAGTGTGATTTGATGGACTCCTCGAGAAGAAACGACTTCTCTCACACGCCTTCTGAATATATACACTCGCATCTCTTGGAACTGTAACTTTGTACAAGATATATAACTATATATAAAGTAAGTGAAACTAAGATATATAACTATATAAGTAAGTGAAAGTAAGTGAAACTAAGATATATAACTATATAAGTAAGTGAAAGTAAGTGAGTTAGATTGTCTAAAGTTATGAAACTAAGAAAAAATTCAAAATTTAGATTGCATAAATTTTTTGAAACTATGAAAAACGTAGGTGTAGGATATATTAAATGAAAATGGTAATATTAAGATTTAAGAAAAACCTATAATTATCGGTGATTTGATGGACTACTCGAAAGAACATGACTTTGCTCATGAAAAAGTATAGTTTCGAAGTCTCTTATAATCATTACACTTGCATTTAAATGCCACAACACTACACCGTCATTAAGTAGTAGATCATCATAACCATTTCATTTAAACTCCACAACAATAAGTTCAATCGTCTCCTTTAGTCGAAAATAAAACATTTGCTAAAATCATTTATATTTGTACAGATTATTTTGGTCCTCTTGAAAAAGTCTAGTTTCAAAGTCTCTTATAATCATTACACTTGCATTTAAAAGCCACAACAGTACACCGTCATTAAGTAGTAGATCATCATAACCATTGCATTTAAACTCCACAACAGTAAGTTCAATCATCTCCTTTAGTCAAAAAAAAGCAAAGAAGGGATTCATCATCTCATCTCCTCTCTCATATCTTCTTTCATCTATCTACAAAAAAGATGTCAGTCTACAATAAACTTTCCGAGATTTCTTATAACCCCAAGGTCAGGGTTTGGCGTTTCAGAGTCAAACTACACAGGATCTACCTTTTTTGTTCCTATGTTACCAACAGGGGACCCTTCTATACCTATGTCCTAGCAGATGAAGATGTAAGTGTTATATCATCATCTCTCAAGTTTTTAATAACATTTAGCCGTGACAAACAAAAACTTGATCATATACTTTATTTATGTAGGGGTCCAAGATGGAGATGACCGTCTATGGGGATTATGAAAGGTTTAGAGGCCTTGAGAACCAGAAGAGAAAATGGGTGGAAATCTTTGTGGTAGAAGTTGAACGTTGCTATCTAGGTTTCCAGGCAACTAACGCTTGGTTCAAACTAACTGCTATGCCCATCACACAAGTCCGCATCATCGATCCTCTTAACGATCAGCTTTTCATTGTCTTCAAGAACATTCATGCAATCCCTCACATGTCCCACAGGGAACAAAACTATCCCATAGGTACTCACAACAGTCGCATGTAGAAGTTAGTGAACCTAAGTGAAACGAACTGATTTAGATGTAAGTAATCACAAAAGTTGCATGTCTTGGTTTCAGAACTTTGTATAACTTTGTATTACTCTGTACACTTATATGGTAGATATAATGAGAGTGGTCTTCAACACGGAAGCCCATTTCGATGACCCTCGAGGACCAAGGATGGTGTTTTACATAAGGGACAACATGTAAGTAGAAAGTAACATATGATCCAAGCAAAATTTATCTATATTGTAATTGACACACCTTTTCTTTATTCTGAATAGTGACAGCTAGATAAAATGTGTGGCAACTGGCAAACATGCCTATGACTTCCGGGATGGTCTTGAAAACATGAAAGGTGGACAAGTGATTGTGGCTCTTAAGATGTGGAGGGTCTGGAAGTTTTGGAGTAAGTGTAGTTTCTGTGTCTAGTTTTAGATGTGATAGTTGAGTAAATTATTTGCTAAAATCATTTATATTTATACAGATTATTTTGGTCCTCCTGATATATGGCTTGAGACCGAAGGTGGAATTTCAGACTTCAGGTTCAATCCGCGTTTTTCCGAGATTGAGAACTTCATGCAGTCTCTACTAAACAGCGACCCTTATGTTCTGAAATATGGGGTTGAAGGTCTTGTGTAAATCTTGTTGTTAAACTTTGTACTTGTCTTCGTACTTGTCTTGTTAAACTTTGTTCAAATGTCGGTGAAACTTTTTGGTTTATATTAGCATTAAGCATCTTCATATTTTTAAATTGTCAATTAATATTAAAAGTTTAAAACACCTTCTAATTTTGCAGTCGAATTACTGAAACTGAATAGTAAGATCAATAAATAAATGTGTTTATTTTATTAGTGTTATTTAATTGGTGAAACTAATTGGTGAAACTTTGTACTTGTCTTCGTACTTGTCTTGTTAAACTATGTCAACTGTTGGTGGACCTTGTTGTCTTGGTCGATTCCAAAATCAAGTGATCTCTCCAATTCTCTCTTAAATGTTCCAAAAACATCACTTTCTTCCAAAGTACTCCTGAACCTATAAATATGCTTATAAGCTTCTATAATATAATAAATAGTTATAAAACCACCAATATACCATGACTAAAAGTGGGTCAAAATCATGGTATATCAGTATATATCTATCTATCATGCAGTTTATTTACCTTGCTTGTGTTATGAATTGCTTAGATATTTCTGAGTAGTTCAATTATTAGGTTTAAGGTTTAAATAGGTTAAGGGGATTAGCCCCAATTATGGGATTGCCAGGTGTGATATTTATTAATATAATGTTCTTAAGTCTTATGTTCTAGAATTGCTACCTAGAAACTTGATCTAAAAAATGTGGATGTTTGAGTAACCTTTAAACAATACTGTCATGAATTCTATTCTAGTAAGCTAAGATTTGATAGAGTATAATGACAACTTGATCTATGAGCCTTATTGAGCATTGTTCAACCCACGCATAAATCTTAACTAGAATAGTGTCGATAGATTATTCTATAGAGATATCGATCGACAAGGTGAAAGGTGTATCGAATGATATTCCTCTAGAATAATCGATCGACACTGCTATTGATCGAATATCCTTGGTTGGGTCAATAGATCATTACTAATAAACTCATACAGAAAGGTGAATGTTGATGAATTTGTTATTAAGTAGTTGAGTTCTTTAATATCATTCAATACAACTGTTTAGCACCTATAGAATTATTTTCCATGATACCTTAATAGAAACCACAAGTCTAACATCTTTCCAATTAGGTTTCAAACCCTCAATCAATTTAGTAGAGTAACTGCCTTGCTCAATTAGGATTACTACACTGTTATTTACTTTAAATCATAAACTAACCTAGACTTATTCACTCTGATTATATTTAATTGGTTCTCTAGATCCTTGTGGATTCGATCCCTAAGTACTACAACTGAATCTCATATTTGAGTAATTCACTCCTTAGGATAATTTGAGTGATGTCAAATTTGGCGCCGTTGTCTGGGAGCTTTGATCGCCATTAGATTTAGTCTGATAATTCTAGGTTACTCTTCTTTAGACTCCCTTTCTGGCACAAAATATTTTTCTTGACTTTTCTGGTGCATGCCCAGCAGTACCAGAAGCAACAAAGAAAAACAACTTCTATTCTCTGAAAATCGTGCAAGCTTGGAATGCCCAATCTGCAAAGACCGATGTTCCACATCGATCGATATCAACGCTTGTCATCGACGAATTTTGCCAACCACCGTCAACCGATTCAACTATTATATCGATCGACATCAACACTTCATCATCGACCGATTTTCTTAATCCGACATCGATCGATACCGAACCTAGTACATCAATCAAAACTTAGCCACGAGACATGGTTGTGATTATGATTCTAAGACAGGATGAAAATAGAGACCTGCATGACCAAGAGGGTCATATGCGTAATGCAGCAGGTCAGAAACTAGATGATCAGGGGGGGACTGTAATCCCTGAGCTTGATACTGATGCTACATGAGCTGCTCAACGTGTAGATAAGGATGCTCGAGCCAAGACCTTGGCTGACTACAACCGTCCAGACCAGTACTATGCCAACAGGTCAGCTATTTGTCTTCCAGACATCCAAAGGGATAATTTCGAGCCAAAGCCGCAATACTACACACTCGCGGCACATATACCCTACTATGGGCTATCTCACAAGCATCCTATGGACCATCTGGAGAGGTTCGAGGATCTTATTGCTACTATAAGAGTAAATGTAATCCTAGGTTCATTTCTCATACGATCATGTACACATAACTTGATTTCGTGCCAAAGAGAGTTATCAAATCTAACAAGGTCAGTTTTAGCGACAAAGCTATGAGAATACATTGTATTTTCTATAAGATTGGGATACCAAGCAATGAGATGGAATTTTAATATTTCTGATTAAATCATAATTAACATAACATTAATAATAAATTAAAATATTATTACTTCCATGACTTATAAAACTCAAAAGTTAAGAATTTACAATCATATTACTCAGTTTACCTATCGTAGTTATACCATTAATGAAAACAAGTTTCACTTAGTTAAGCAACACACAAGTACAAATTATTTCACCTCACAACGTTCCCATACGATAAAAACATCAAAACTGAATGTGAAAAGCTTACAACCTAATCGACCCATTTTCCCTCTTGGTTCTCGAGACCTCTAAACCTTTCATAATCCCCATAGACGGTCATCTCCATCTTGGACCCCTACATAATAAAGTATATGATCAAGTTTTTGTTTGTCACGGCTAAATGTTATTACAAACTTGAGAGATGATGATATAACACTTACAACCTAATCATATTACTCAGTTTACCTATCGTAGTTATATCAGTAAAGAAAACAAGTTTCACTTAGTTAAACAACACACAAATACAAATTATTTCACCTCACAACCTTCCCATACGATAAAAACATCAAAACTGAAAGTGAAAGGCTTACAACCTAATCCACATCAAAACTGAAAGTGAAAGGTTTACAACCTACTCTTCTTCTGTTTCTTGTGGAGATGTTCATCGTGTTCCAAACCAGAGCCCACATTCTCTTCTTCCCATATCCACTCTCACGCTCACAACAGTTCCTACTACAAGAGCTCTCTCCAACTCTTGACCGTTGCTCGGTTATTTGAACTATTTGCAATTCTTCGATGCCCTCCACATGCAAAATATTTCTTCTCTGCTCTCTATCCACTGATGTTAGATAAAAAAACACATCTTCATCATCCAAAATATATGATTGCCTCTTAGGTTCCACTATCAATGGAATGTAACCCAAATTGAACCTCTTCGTAAACGGATTTATTCCTATCTTCGTGCATATCCTCTCCTTCAACAATGAATAAGTGATCTCCTCCAACGATGATGTCTTAAAGGATATAGCATACAAACGAGCATCGGTTGGAATCCATTCATAATCATCTCCATCCTTCGAATAATGTCCATCATAAACAAAGTGTATGTTCGTTGAAAAAGAACACATTGTCTGCAATAAAAAAAAAACCAACCCCTTAAAGTTATACTTGGTTAACCAGTTATACCATTAACGTTATACTTGGTTTCACAGTTATACCATTAAAGTTATACTTCGTTATACCATGTTACAGAGTTGTGTCAGTGATCAATTAGTAATCAGCGAACGTCTAATCTTCTTTGACTAGATTGTCCTTTCATTCCCGACATTCAATCATAGATTTGTTGATTATCCAATTGAGTAATAGACAGACCAACAACACTTTCATTCCTTTCTGATCCTCGATTAGTTCATGAAGCCCAAATGTTACAACTACAAATTTCGAGTCGAGTCTTCAATTCAACAATACCAAATTGTAATCAGCTTTGATTCCCGACATTCAATTATACAGTTGTTGATTATCAAATTTCCTAATAAACAGACCATTCATACACAAATACGAAATCTTCAATCTAATCGGAATCTCTGAGTTCGTCTATGGTGGATTCTATACATCGGTCTTAACGGAACGACGATTTGAGATGCATACCCTGTAAAATGAACAGAAATAATAGCTCAATGATCCAACATCCAAGCAACGAGAATTCGATGATAGGAGGGAGGAGTGGAGAAGAAGAAGACTCGAGGACGATTCCGACTTTGTGCCTGATATCGGAGGAGAGATGGATGAGGCTGGAGCTGAGTAAGTGAATCGAGTGATGACTCATTAATTTGGAGTGAATTAATATTTATTAATTTATTCATTAAATTGGTGAGGGGTATTTTCGAATTTAACCACACTCTCCAAGAGTATCAGAGTAGATAAGAGTATGCCAGATTTCGTAAGAGTATGATAGATCACTTTTTGCCTCATTAAGAGCATCTGAGCATTTCACTCCACTAGCAAATCCGGATTGACATCAGGAGGAGGAGCCGGAGCAGCTTTGGGAACTGGGGCAGCATTATGATTTGGATTGGGGGCATGCTCCTCATGATGATCAGGATGGTGTGGAGCAGGAGGGTATGGAGATTAGAGGGTCATTCTGAGGATAGTATGGAGAAGGCTCATACAGAGGAGGAGCCGCCTCATACTGAATGGGAGGCACATACAGAGCAATGGACACAAATGACGGGTGAGTGCTCTCTGGGACAAACTCCTGGGCGGATGCAATGCCAGAGCTGGAAGCTGATAGATCCGACCAATCGAGAAATGTATCTCCATATGAAGGTCTGCTAGCCGCAAGATTCCTAATTCTCTTTCTACCAGAAGCCATATCGTTGATTATTAAATAAATAAAAAAGATTATAAACAATTAATTAATTTAAATCAATTATAAAAAATAATCAAATATAATTCTAAATATAATCTAATGTCATCCTAAACTCCAAACCAAATCTAATTCAATCTTAAACTAACCACCTAAATCTAAATCTAAAACTTAAGAAAAAAATACCTTAGAGAAGGAAAGTGGAGGGGAATTGGTTGTTAGAGAGAGAGGAGATTCCAACGAAATGTGTTCGACTGCTCGCGAGTTTATGTAGGGATTTGGTGGTCGTCGTAATTTAGAACTTAATTAATTCGAAATTACGAAAAATTAGGTGTTACAGCGAATCAAGGAATACATGTTACGACCAATTAAGGACGACACGTGTAGCAGATTATGACGATATAAGAACTA